GTTTGATGATTGTATTTAACTTGTGGATAGAGTGCATACACAATGAGATACACACAGAAATAATTAGTGCGCCATTGTGGGTGCTACTTCTCCCCGTTAATTCTGTCCTATTAAGCAGTGTACGTATAGAAATGGTAAAATGAATGATTTTAACTATACAAAATAAGTTCTGAAATATGCACTAAACGGCTCAACTATAGCCAACAAAATTAGCAAATCTAATTTTAAACAGCCGTAGATAATTATATATAAATTATGTGGACGTTATTGACGAAATTCTGTAGCCGGGGAAGGGGGGGAAAATTCCAAAAAATAAAATAAACTCGTCCTTTCTCGAATAATTATTTAATATCACTAATGAAATAGTGCAAGGAAAAATTTTTATATAAATATAAACTAACTTACCAGTTGTTTATCGTCCAATGTTTCTTGTAGTTATCAGTGTAATATAACTCTTATAAATAGTTGTAAATAGGTTGTTGGTTCTCGAATATTTTCATTTGCTTAGTACATATATTGGGAATATGTTTGCTACCTTATTTCCATTCAATAAAATATGAAATTGCTTCTCGCTGCAAATAATAAAAAAAGCAGAATAAGAAAAAAGAAATAGAAACAAGAACAAAATATGAAAAGTAAAATGTGTGCAAATGCGTTCACAAACGACGCGTCAAATGCAGATTTGTGGACACGCTCTCCCAACTACATTGCAAATTTATGCCACAAAATGGCTGCCAAAAATACTTGTTGAATATTTAACAAATACGCAAATCTATGCGAGGCTTTTGCATAAATGCGAGGCACACCACAAGCGCCAAAAGAAATTGTTCACTGTCGCCTGTAGAAGCTTTGTCAATCAATAAAATGTTTTCCAGCCAATCGAATAATAAGGGGAAGCAGCCTCGCAAAAGAAGAACATTAAACGCCAATGTTGAATACATTTTTGTCAGCTACGGCCCTAAGCAATTTTCCATACAAAAGTGCGAAAGTAATACGCATAAATTAAAATTCGATCCAGTATGTCCCCTTCCAAATAAAACTGGCCTAAGCCGCATAACGAATACTCGTATAACATTGAAATATCAATATTGCATAATTCTTCTTAAGCACCACTTACAGTTATGACAAACCGACAATTTAGGCGATTTTAATGCGTTAAAGCATCGGATTGGGCGAGCACAAAAACACACCCTTCAAATTTACCGCTCTATACTATGTTATCCTGCGAAGCATTTAGAATATTTTTTCCCTATACGCCTGATGCTTAAGCTTGTTGTTGTTTGTCTCTACTGCTACTGCAGTTGTTACTCAAGATAGATCGGATTACAATAATAAAAGGGATTCTTTAAGTTGTGTCTTGACTGGCCCTATTGTATTTTGGCTTTAATGTTTTTTCGCAACGGCAACAAAGCTTTCGCACACGCGTGTGTAGAGTTGTGCGGGTTCAATTTAATTCATCAGTCATAAATTTTGGAAATTTAATTTAAGCCATAAAACCGTCGTTCACTGCTCAGGTGACAAAAAATGCAAATTGGATCATTTGAAAGAAGATATTAACTAAGAGACATTGATTGATTGCCTTTTTACTATTCCTTAATTATTTTGAAAGGCATAAGACTATGTGCAGTCCAGTTCATTGAGTAATAAACCCTGTGTTTTACCAATTTACATTATTATTAAACATGCTTGAAGTTCACTGTGGCTTCCAACGATAACTTTTTTCTCAATGGCATCTTTCTTTCTTTAGCGAAGGGAATGTATATAGTTAATGACAGCCTATAGCGCCATATTTCAATATGGCGTCATTTTTTAACTACTGTTTTAAGTAATGCAGTTGTATTTCATGTACCCACATCAACAAAATAAGAATATTTTGGTTGTGTGCTCTGTGGCTTCGTTTTTATAATTTTTATCTAAAAAATCGTGTTGGGCACTTTGTCTAACCGAAATCTTAATATAACACGTAATTGGTTTCATGATGTCACCCTCACCTACATTTTATCATGGTGTTTCTGAAGATGTACGTTGAAAAAAAAGAGTGTTCGCTTTCGTGCAATAATTTTGGTAACCTTTATGTTGAAGTTTTCACTCTTGCCAGAAACTGGGAACTGTTCTTTTTGAAATCATGTTCCGATAATTCACCAACAACAAATCGAACTTACTGTCGCTTATACCGGCTCAACACTCTGCATAAGTTGGGCCAAATATATAATCAAGACTAGTCGTTTTGTGGTTTAGAAGCTCTAAAAACTGAATGCTATCGAAGCACATTTTTGCTTACTGAGTGAAAGTGTCTCTGGTGCTTAGGCGTATATCACAGCAAATGCAGAGCATACAGACATAAAAGTGAGTTGATAATAACTTTCTGAAAAGGTAATTTCTTTTCTTCTACAAAAACGAACAGCCCATACCGCCATGAAAAACATGTTTGTGCGAGTGTGTTTATAATTTATGCAATGCCGCAATTTTAAGGCTCATCCGCGCTCACATCTCGACCGCAGGTTCGGCAACGCTACCGAAGCGAATCCTATGCATGTAGAGTTGTTCTTTAGCATTACACGCATCGCTGAAAATCAGCAAAAATTTATTGAGCATAAATTTAAATCCGCCTTCGTTTCCATTGCTTGCTAAATTTCGTTGTTTATGTACGCGTTTTATATGATTTTAAATTGATTTCATTCCAAATGCGATAAGACGTCGCTGTTCTGATTTCTTTTGCCACTGACTACCTTTCACAGCGAGTACTTCCTTCCGCGATGACTTCCTGTATCCCACCTTCCTTCCATTATATTTAGACAGGATGCCAGGCATATGTCCCACACATTTAGGTAAAAGAATCGCCCAAATTACGACACAGATAAATTGCAGACCACTCAAAATGGTCCGGCACAAAAACAAACCATGCCCTAAAGCGGTTGTCATTGTTGTCCTTATTTTGTTGTTGTTATTGACGTTCCCCCGGGCATGTTTATGAACATGGACATTGACTGCCGCAACAGCAGAAACAGCCACAGAAATCAAGATTTGGTTCACTCACACTCAAGAAATTAAAAGAAATAACTATAAATATGAATGATTTCGAAGTGTAAGAGCACAACTTCAATTAATAAAGAGGATGTTTATCATTTGTTAATCCATAACTCGAAATGCTATAAGTGTGATTACTTGTAAATTGGTATTCCTGTTCGCATTATTATTTTTAAAACTATTGATACACTGAATTGGAGATGAATCAAGTTCTTGTTTTATTTAGGCTTTTGAGTCCTGCAATTAAAAATAACTCAAATATTTTTGGGTTTACTGAAGTTCGGCAAACCATTTACGAGCGGTTAATATAAGATAACTTTATTCTGCCAAATACTGTATTTAAAATAGAAAATATAACAAAATATAAAACCAGCTGTACGTGAGTGCGGGTGGGTGGGTAAGGGTCAAAGCTAATTCACCGCCCACGGCGAGCGTCCATTACAGGTGCTTCGAATCGCCGTTTTAACCTCCCGCAGCGCTTCTGCTTTTGTTGCTTCATTTTATCCAAAATAGTATTGTGTCCCCCCACCTGCACAACTGGCTTTCTTTATCCTAGCACCATGTTCGACTTGGTTCATATATATTCGTATTCTCACTTTGAACCGATGCTCAACGTTCCACGCCAAATCAATAAAATGGTTTGTAAGTTACGATTACGGGAACGCGGACGAATGGCTATTTTTGTTGGCACCTTCTACAAAAGTTTCATGCGCATTTGTGTTGGTCGCCCTTCGAAAGCGTTGTGGTTGTTGATGTGTTTAATGCTGTACCTACTGCAACCGTCCATTGTTGTCGCTGTCAGTGCTGTTCATTGCCCCAAAATTGGATAGGATAATATCCAATCATTACTTATCATTGTTGTGCATGGCCATTTTGATGTTTCGCAGTTCTTTTTACTTGTATTCGTGCTCGCACAGCTTCTAAGGAAGAAGCGTTGGCGTCTATTTTTGCGTACAATATGCTGTGTCCTGCATGTCCTCACATTAGCCTAATGGCTATTCCTCGCTACGTGTCTTTATTATGTGCCTGCCTATGTGTATGGAACACCTTCATACTCGTGTACAACGTTCTCACGCATATCCATTGAAGAAATTAAATTAGTGAAAATATCTTAGTAAGGTACGGGAAAGGTAAGACAATCTAATTGCTTTAACGGCCGCCTCTATGTGTGCGCGGAAATTTTGTAGCAGGTGTTGCCAGCAATTGGCCTTTGGGGTGCTAACCGTTCATGTCTGACAAGGTAATTATGTTTTATAATCAAAAAAGTGGCCACAAAGCACTTAAGTGATGCAAGAAGGCGCCGAAGAACTAAATCGGTTGTATGTATGTATATCGCGCAAATATTAGCAGCAGTTTATCTAATAGGAATAGTATTATGTCTACCATTTTTTTCACGTTAGCGGTCACTAGTTAAGCCTACAAGTTTTAAGTGATTCTACGTCATCTAGGCGTTTTAAAATGCATACCTATGTATGTAGTTTCATTGCTTGATAGACCTATCAGCAGACTCACAATGTAAAGCTCCAACTTTTAGTCAGCCAAGGCACAATTCATTTCCAACTTGGTTAGTTGAGTTTCCCACCCAGCCAGTGTTGGAAACTAAGTCCATCAAAATGGGGAATTCAGTTTATTGCACACTGGTGTAGTTTAACGTGCATGTTTGTACCAGGAACGATTGATGAAGACAAATATCATTTTTTGATTAATGGGCTTTGAAGTTGGAGTTTGTCAGAATTAAGGGCGGGCTTGTGCAGTTACTTATTAGGACGCGATATAATTATTTCTTCGTCTACGAACTCAAACCTATAGCTAGCTAGCACAACTATAAGAATCGATCAAACTTTTTCCTGGCAACATGGCAGCAAACTGTCAGTTGGTAACGCTGACGGGGAAGAACTTAAAGCAGGTCAGCAAACAGCAGCTAGCAAGCCTGACTAAAGGAATTCGACATTCTCAAACTCCACAGCTGTACTATGCGAGCCAACAAAATTTTTCTACGCTACTATCCACCAGGTAAGCATATCCTAAATCGGTATGATCGAATTAGGCATTTCTATAGACTTTGAAATAAAATATCTTTAACGAAAACTAAGAGTATGAAGCTCTCAATAAAAGCAAAACATAATTTTAACGTCATGATATGGCTTCCAGTTTTTAACATTTGCCCAAATACGATGACCTATTTCAATTTTCTTACACCAAAGGTCTGGCCTTAAATTACCGCGCTGCCGATAATACCGATCGTTTGCGACACTTTGATCTTCTCGACCTCGATGTCAAGTAAGTTGGTAGAATAAATAAAACTAGAACACTCACCAAAACTCCTGAATCCAAATTATAGAACAAATGTGGATGCACTGGCGGACAGTATACTGCTGCATGAATTGCAGACACACGATTCAATCAGCACCTCCTCTGCTAGTTCTAGTAATTTAAATTCAAACGTTCTTGATAAGCCCGTCATAGGCGGTGAAGTTGGTTTGTCCGCTACCGTGACCGCATCCAGTTCTCAAGATACCTTTAGTGCCTTGAAACAGGCGATCAACAAATTGCAACGAAAGCTGCTTGAGCCCGTCAAAAAGAAGTTCTATCTGCACAAGCGCCATGTGTCGCACATTCTGCCGCTTACGAATGTCTGCTTTGATCGTGGAGGCGAACGCTGCCTGACTGGCAGCTACGACCGGACCTGCCACGTTATAAACACCAACACAGCAGAAGTAGAACATGTGCTGACAGGACATGACAACGTCGTTTTCTCCGTCGGGTTCAACACGCCAAGATGGTCAGTAAGCTATGGTTTTTGGAATAAAATGCCATCCTCTTTTCTACATTTTATAGCGATAAGGTGGTCACCGGCTCCTTCGACGCAACGGCCAAAGTTTGGTCTGCAGCAAGCGGCCAATGTTTGTGCACGCTTTATGGGCACAACGCTGAACTTGTCGCCGCCGAATTTCATCCGTTGCACACTTACGGTTTGGCCACCGCATCTTTAGATGGTACAGCCCGTGTGTACGATGTGGAGACGGCACAGGAGTTACAACAGCTCAGTCACCATAGCGCAGAAGTGATTGCAGCTCATTACAATCGCGATGGCCAACTGCTGCTAACAGGTTCCTTTGATCGTACGGCCGCTATTTGGGATACGCGCAGCAATAGGTGAGTGGAGTGTTATCCCCATCATAAAAGTAGTCACCAGAATTACAATGCTCTTGCCCTCAGCTGCAGTCATCAGCTACGCAGCCACAGCGCTCAGTTGTCCAACTGTGTGTGGAACTTTAGCGGATCGCTGATTGCCACGGGGTCTCTAGATAACACTGCGTGCATTTGGGATGTGCGTCGCTTGGACCAGCCGCTGCACCTAATCTCCACGCATAGTGATGAGGTGCTGGATGTTAGCTTTGATGCTGCTGGCAAACTCCTGGCCACCTGCAGCAGTGATTGTACTGCTCGAGTTTGGCAAGTGAGTGGCGCCATGGAAGAGCTGTCGGTCATGGCTGGACATTGCGATGAGGTATCCAAGGTATGCTTCAGTCCGAGTGGCTGCATGTTGCTGACCGCCTCAGCGGACAATACGGCACGTCTGTGGTTGACAGAATCGGGAATGTGCTCCCAAGTATTAGCCGGCCATGAAGCAGAAGTGTTTTCATGTGCGTACAGTTATGCGGGAGACACTATTATCACCGCTTCTAAGGATAACACCTGCAAATTCTGGAGATGATACGATTGGTATACGGTGCAGCTGCAGAATGATGACGACTGAATTGCAAAGTCTTGGATGTTTTTCTTTCAACATTTACTACAAACTTGAGAGTTTATCTTTTGTTATTTTTTGTTTGTTTTGCTTTTCTTATAATTTTATAATCAACTTCCGCGGCTTACAAATTAATAGGTTTATTTTCGGACATTATTGTGGTTTATCTATTTGCTTTTTAGTTTTTTATCTTAGTTTAGACTTTATATTTTTGTTGATTGTGTTTTTTGTTGCTATTTAAGACGACTTTTTTAAGTTTTGGTTTCTTTTTGCTTTAACATATTTTTACTTTACATTATTAAAGTTTGCTTCGCTTCACGCTTAAGATTTTTTCTTCTTATACTCGTACATATGTAAAAATGAACTAAATGATCATTCAGTAACAAACATTTTACAACTTTCTTAATCCGCAACATTAATACATAAATTGAAATACAAATTAGTCACCGGTCCTAAACAAAATTTAACACGATTTTATGCAACGGTTCTCATATTTAGGTGACTGAAATGGATGACATTGTGAACGATAGAAGGTTTCTGATGTAGATGCTACAGTTTTAGGCGACGAAGACGTGGACAGTACAGAGCGAAAATATAATGTTTTTGCGAGCACTGTGCAGTACGTTACTTTACATAGTTCTAGTAAAGACTTGTATCTCTAGCAAGTATTTAGGTAATTGGTATTTGTTTTGAGACTGTTGGTACATGGGAATTGCCTCACTCCTACTGCGCTTGAATGCGATCTGGTTGGGCTGTTCCAATATTTGTAAAAATCACACATAAACCAACAATATACATAAACAGTTTACACAGATTATATACATATATATGTGTGTATGTGTAATATTGATTGGCTTGTGCGATCTTTTCTGATTGCCGCCTGGCTCTTTTTTATATAAACTATTATTAGGTTTATTATTATCATTAGTAGTAGGTTATGTCAAAGTAGAAAACGGTTTGGTGTGTTTTGTTTGTTTGTTTTTGTTGTTACTTTTATCGTACTGTTGTTGCATTTGTATTGTATTGGATTTTGCATTCTAATGCGTTGGACTCTGTAAGAATAACAAAGAGCATAAATTAATAACCAGAGGAAATGATGAATGAATGAGTGACCTAAACAGCAGGCTTACATGATAGATACATAGCATGAAGGAGAGTCATGAGCATTTTTTGGATGAACATGCACGTGGTAAAGGACTTATCTGGGCTGTCAGGAGCTGCAGCGTTGACGTAGCAAATAAAGGGATACAAACAATACAAGACAAAAAGTTTGGTGGCTTTAAATTTTCAGTATGAAGGTTATGACTTAAAGATTTGCCTTTTGTTGTTATTGTGTTTTTTAAATGAACGAAATTTAGCATAACATATTTATGCTTCATATGCATACATAAATATATATAAGGAAGATAAAAAAGTTTGAACTTGGACTTGATTGCTAAAATGAGATTAATTAATTAAAACAAGAAACAGGACTTAAAAGCGCGTCATGTGCTGAGTGAATTGTGAGAGCGAAAAAACTGGGAGAAATTTTCTTTGTACGATTAAAAAAGCTTCTCCCAACCTGCATTACAACGATTTGAAAGCCATTAACGTGCGAGCGAAAGGGTTAAAAAGCAACAAAAAGCGCGGCAATGGCGATAAAATTTAAATGTTATAGAAAATATTGCGTACTTCACATGGCCGATCCGGAAACATTTGCTTGAAAGTGTGCTCAATGACATGATATCTGAAAAAATGAGAATAGAATTAGAATTAGCACCATAACTATTCGTTTAACTTACTTTGAATGCAGTCCACCGCCAGGAGGAAGCCCTTCAATGTCCTCTTTGTTTTGCAGACTCTTTAACAGATCCACATAGTCTGTCAGCTGTTCTCGCTCTATTTCCTCTGCAAGGAGAACACAAAAGAAAAGGCAGGCATTAAGTAAAGAATGTTGAATATGATGGTCGATTCATATTAAATATATGTATGTACACAAATTCTTATAGGAAGTACGAATTATTTGTTTAAGCTACTATAAAGTAAAATGCAACATTTAAAATATACAACCAAATTAAAATATATATAAGTGTGCTGCAGCATACAGCTTCTGAAGGAATGGAGCAAAATATAAAACTGCTATTTACTTGGACTTCATTCTTAGGAGTTTAGAAAATTTTGGTTCAAAATTGACAATGCCCATTCATTAGGTGGGTGTGTAAGGTTTCTTCAATTTTAAATTTAAAAAGTCACATTTGTCGGGCTTCTTAAAAATGGAGTAACACAAATACATTTTTGGAAAATCATAACAAAATTAGGATGTCACAGTGGAACACGCGTATCTCTCTTATTTTAGGGCCCTTTTAATACCCTTGCAAACGATTTTTTATAATTGGTCTTATATGTGAACATATTAAAAGAGGCATCGCTATAGAAGTTACCGGCAATGGAGCTGGGTCTAGTTGTTTGTATGTAAGCTAGTCTCTTCATGTTAGGACTTTTGGTGTAAAATTGCGCACTGATTATCTCTTTTTGTAAGATTTCTACTATATGTATAGTAAAGTAGAGAAACCATCTGCTTAAAAAGGTGGATCTAATTTGGGATATTGAGTTGTAATTCAGCTGTAGCTTAAAACAGATGCGATCGTCATATATTTAACTGATATGAATAACTTTGATTTTTAATTTAGATATTTTAAATATTATGTGGAAATTGAGTTGATTAACCCAATGATGCTTCGGACTATTTTGTTAAAAGGCGGCGGGTTATATAAAAACAGAGGAGTACATTGCTAGGGTATATAAGCTTCGGTGCGCCGAAACTAACGTGTTATTTTAATTTTTTGCTTGTTTGTTAGCTTATGCGAATGGCAAAGTGCAACAATTTAAAACTAAATGTCTGCCAAATGCATTTAGAGCAAACAATTTTAATAGCTTAATAGTGGTTGAGTGATTGATTAAACAAATCTGAAAGCATGCATTTCAATTGATTCCTAAATAAAAATCAATTGACTGGGCTTTTTTTTTAAAGATTATGGACAAATTCAAACATTTGGGCATAAAAACGAAAGGTGATATAAAATTGCATCAAAAAAAGTAAACAAAATGGTATTAAAGAATTTTTTTCAATTTACAAACTACAATATTATAAACATACCTTATGCTCACACATCTTAAAATTTGATTGCTTTCTGTTTATCTTGCTTTGACTGACACGCCCATTTTTGTTTTGTTTAAGTGCTTGTTCTTTTAGTTTACATGTAGTATTGAATTAGCTCATTTGATTGGAACACCCAGGGCCCAAGATCAAGAACAACAACAATAACAATGCGCGCGATTTTTCATAGAAAATTGCTTGAATACGTAAGAGTTACTTGAAAGAATTTGTAGGCATTAGTATTCGCTGGCTCTTGAGGAATGTAGAAATTAAATAGATAAACAAAAGTCAACTAAAATGAAAATTATCGAAATAAAATAAATTGAATGGAATTTTTGGAATAAGTTAGAGTGTATATTCAGCATCGGTTGAGTTTGTGTTTGTGTGCGGGGCGTGAAAGCAGTGAAAGTAAATGGTAACTGAAAACTGAACAAACACAGCAAACAAACACTTTTCGTTTGGTTTTTGAAACTTTTCTTATTCGTAATATATTTACTCGGCTTTTGTTTTTCAGAAACGGAAAATAATTATTTCACCATTTACTATAAGTACATCAGTTTTTTTTTTTTTTGTTTTTTGTTGCTTGGCTTACTGCTGATGTACAGTATTACTTGTAGTTGGTTTAGGGGATTGCTCAAGTACTTAGGTAGATATATTCACATATAATGCAAAGTGCCAAGGCTTAGAGCCTAAAGCATTTGCCTTGCCACAAGCATGATCTCATAAATATGTATGCATGTATATTATTTTGAAGTTAATTTAGACCTGTGTTATGTTTTGCATTGACTTGTTCGGCTTTACAGCTAGTCAAGCACTAGAAACTGGTGAGCATAAGGTTTACAATTATTTGTCTAAGTTTAAATAAAATTGTTTGCTTTTCGCTGTCTTTAGCATAAGTTCTTCAAGTTAAGTATTGCCCATTAACTGACCAGCTGCCTGGCATATTTACATCTTAGAACGATGCATGGGTTTTGAATTGGCTGAGCTGGGCATTTATTTACATTATCTACATTTTAAGTAATTTGTCTGGACTGTAAAGTTAATTTTAATATGTAATTCATTTACTCTAGTTATTGCAATTATTGTCCTCATTATCAAAGTGACATAGCTGCGGACAAATGAATTTGATTTATTTACATTAGAAATTCTCATGGATAACAAAAAAAAAAAAAAAGAAAAAAACCATGTCAGGACTTGCAAAAATTCATTTTAGAATTTACTGCTGCCTGCATGTAATTTTTAAATTGGTTTAAAATTATCTAAATCTATACACTATACATCACTACAAAATACAATACAAGTGTGGGTTTGTTAAACTAATACTTGAGCGATATTATAACACACTGGCTAGCTAATAAATATTTTCTATAAACACACACCATTCATTCCGTTGCACAAAATTCTCCTAGTTCATCAATTCCATATTTAAATTTTATTACTTCGTGTTAGTAATTTAGTAATACCTGCCCCTGTTATTTGCAACATTTGATTGGCTGCATCGAAAATGGTATCAAATATTTTAGTATTGTAAATTTGTAATCCCAGTTAGTAGTTATGATTGCATTTGTGCTTGCTGAGTACTTGTGGCGGGTGATTAATTACGCTATATGGACTGACTTATATTTAAATTTATAATGAATTGGGGAAATGTATGAAAATGGCCACAATTGATTGGTAGTTTTTGGCAGTTGGTGTAGCAACTAAAGTTTGTAAACATGATATAACTCGCATTCATTTACTCGCAAACTATCTTACTAACGAGTTACATCCACACGCAATCTATGCAATACAATACTTAAGTGAGGGGAGAGAACTCTATATGTATAAGTTTATCGACATTTTCGTTTTGGCATTGGCATTGAATAATGAATGGCAATGATTCGTGTGGTTTTTTTTTTAGTGTACTCGGCTTTTGTTTTATGGAAGGAACTTTTGTTGTTGCAACTGAAGTCGCTTTTCGGGTTTTATCTAGCTAAGGATTTACTAACTAAAGGTTTAACTACTTATACATTAAACATTTTGACTATGTGTTCTCCTGGTGGTTTCTCTATATAGGTATCAGTCAACATTTAGTCAACATGTGACCTACACGAGATTTGTTCACTAACACAGACGCTACTACGCCACAGCTCAAAGGTTACGACAATCGTTAAGGTTACTGTTACGTTAAACGATTAGTTATAAACAAAGTAGACGACTAAGACAACCTCTTGTGATCTTTTCAATTTGTTTCTCCAACCGTCGCTCAGCCTCTATCGCCTCTTCAGTTGGCTTTGGTGCTCCTGGGAAAGCAATTATGATGATGCTCATATTATCACGACTGCCCTGTGGATGCAAATAATAGAAAATACAAATTAAAGATAACCCATTAGGTCGTTAATGGTTAAATGCTGACCTTGTGCAAACAAGTGTCCACCACCTGATTAGCAATGTTCACCAGATCACTAGTTACTTTCAGCCTCGAATGTATAAAGCTGCACACATCCTCATTGCTCATCACATCCCAAATACCGTCACAGGCGAGAACCAAGAACTCATCGGTGTCCTGACGGCTTTGGCAAAATATTTCCGGTTCGGGTGAGACCAGTTGCTCGCACTGGCCCTTTTCTTTTACGTTTTTAAAGTCGTAGTCACCAAGGGCTCGGGAAACTGCAAGCGTGCCGTTGACACGCTTTATCATCACACTGCCGCCGGCATTATGAATACGTTCCTTCTCCTCGGGCAAAATGGGTTTGTGATCCTGCGTAGCAAAGACCGGCACACCCTGACGACATAGAACGGCTCTCGAGTCGCCACAATTGGCAATATACACTTGCGTCGAGGAGACGAAAGCACACACCGCTGTGGTACCGCCGCATTTCTCGTCATTCATCGTGAACTCGGGTAAGCTGCGCATTGCCTCGTCGATCTCCAGGAAACCTGTGCGTATACCCTTTACATGGTCGCCGTTTTTGAACTCCTCTGTACTGATAATGCTCCCGAGCAAATACTTTGCGCAATGCTCGGATACTTTGCAGCCCGCATGACCATCAAAGACGGCAAAGAAGCTCCAGTCATCGAGGGCATTGCCCAGACCAGTGCGCGCATAATATGCGTCCTCCATCTCACAGCGCCAACCCTGCATTGAGCTGACACCGAAGAGTAGCTTATTGCCCTCCCCTTGGTCATTATGTTTCACGGTTTTCGGTTTATCCAGAAATCCGCCCATTTCTATTGAACATACTGTGTTTGTGCTGTGCGGGTGGAATTATTAGTTGGCCTGCTGCTTGGAGGATTGAGCGCTGCAATAATAATCGGCGAATAGAAACATAGAGACGCATCAATAAATGTATGCTTGTATGTGAACTTGTGTGGGCGCCATTTAAAATCAATAAGGAATTGCTCATGAACTTTAAAATGGGTGCCGGTCCAATGCAAAATGTCATAAACAAACACACAAATGTGCAATAATTCAAGGATGTGTTATGGGTGGCGCCGCTGTTTCTGCTGATGATGATAATGGCTGAACTAAACAAACGATGGCAGTAGTTATTTTCTTTCTCAGTTGCTTTACATTGTTTCTCTCCATTACTGTTTACACATCGATTTATCAAAGAATTATTACAAATTACTATAGAAATTAGAGCAAACCCATACTATACACATGGGCAATTGAAAGTATGCAGAGTTGTAATTGTTGGCCGGGATGCCAGTATCGTTTTTACAGTTACCGCTCCCTGATGATTTGGTTTAACTAGGTTTACGTTGTAATTAGTCAGTGGTAATCTGTGATTCAGCGGACATGAGTCTGTGGGCCTCACCGATTGGAAAATCCAACAGAATTTCGCGCGCAATTACGAATTTCTATACCGGTGTCAGTCATTATGGACCAACACATTTTGGCTACAAAACTGAACTATTAGGCAACACGAACAAAAGAAATTATTTTCGGTTGTGAGGTGCACATAAAAAAGCACTGCTAGTATAAGCACTCGATACTGGAAAAAATGTATTACGCTACACAGCAAACTAAAAAAACAAAACAGTTAAAATGCTGAATGTGGCTTCAGTCCAAGTTTAGGTTGAAAAATCACGAATTAACAAACTAAGTGACGAAATAATGCAGCAACAAAAAAAGTTATGTTGCATAGTGTTTTTTTTTCACCTAAGTTGTGGTCTCCCTCGTTGCTCTCGCTCCTGGCTCGCTGCCGTTCACGCAAAATGCTTGAAAATTTGCGCTACGTATATTATACGTTTACTTGCACGACATTTAGCTGGTGGGCGAACACTAGAATACACTGTTGAGTTGCAACGCAATGAAAAACAGAACTTTTTCTACTATTTTAATTTTCTATTATTTTGATTAGCAAAACACGCAGCGAGTGACGCACGTACAGGGTTGTTGACTGTTCATCGAAAGAATCGATGGTATTATCGATAATACATAACACGACACCTAGCGGCATCAAACTACAACTTGAATGAAACACATGGCAGCTGTGAAATGTTTTGCCCATTGAGGGCGCTAATGTTCGTGCAATGAAAAAAATACACGTTGTCACCTAATTATCAGAAACATGGTGATCTTGAAATTAAAATCATTTGTATTTACGCATTGAATGTAAGTTATTGATTGTACATCAATAAAAGTGGCGTGAAATAAAATTGACCCCTTGCAAAAACAACATTAAAATCAATATACAATAAGTGTAGGTGTATTCCTACAGGTGATTTAGTTTTGAAATTAATAATATGAATATAATATAATATGATCAAATTTATTTTGTTATGGGGAACTTCGCATTTTTCTCTCCAAAAAGAAGTTTGCAGTAGCAGTTATTAGGCGAAATACTAGCACTGGGAGACAAAAACATTTAAATATGTATGTACATTTTGAAAAATTGAGAATCGCTCAGGAGAGCCTATCGGAGAACGTTTAGGAGAAACTTTTAAGGATTGCGAAAATCGGAAAACCCTCTTCCTACCGAAGTAAAGAAAAATCTGTACATCAAAGGGAGCTTATTACTAACAGTGGGCTGTAATAGCCGAGCAATACTAAATAAAATATTTTGATTTTAGGTAATATTGTAGACATTTGAAATATATACATATTTATAAAATGAAATTGTACGACCACCCAAACAGAAATCAAAACTGTCCAAAGTATTTTTTATGGCAAATTTTACGACACTTCTGGCCAACAAAAGGCACGTCAATTTTTCACACACATACCCGCGGAACTGAAAAAATTGTGTTGGACTGATAATCGCGATCAATGGCAGGAGCGACAAAATGTTCCCTTCGTCTCAGAGCCCGTTTAGGCCCTTTGCTATGCAATCTTATTTATGACCTTTCAGCACCCATGCACACATACAGTTTCAGTTGTGTAGTTCAAATCTCTGCCTATCTATATCTTGTTGAACATGTCCTGGCCTCAGCCTTTGAACTGCCGCTGGGAATTATTGGCAAGCAGGTTGGGATGGAAGGAGTGCAGTCAGAAATTTTTCGCTTAATTAATTTAGAAATATTTGCTGCACATGATTTCCAAAATGTCAAAGAAATATATAGTTGTGCCGCTTCGTTGACCTGCAATTGAGTTGTAATTGCCGCAGCCTTTGTTTCTACTGTTGCTATTGCGAGTTATGCAATTGAGCTCAATGGAAAGGCATCGAGGCACGGCCGGGCAAGTAGGCGTCAAACTGTTGTGGAAAGGACGTTTGCTCTCTCAGTCAGTCACCCATTCAGTTGGTCTGTCATTCGGTCGCATGGTCGGTCGACCGGCCGGTCAGTCGAAGACGTCGAGGAGGAGGTTGACTACAATTGCCAGTCATGTCTTCATAAATTTTATTGAATTGAGCCACTTGCAAGTGGCGGGGAATCGAACAAAACGGGGCGGGCACGGCAGGCGGGCCGCATCAACATGAGCAAACATACAAAACGGCCCGTGTCTGCGACTGCGACTGTGGCTGTGTCTATTTGACTATTTCATCTTTTGCCGACGGCGACGTTGTACGTAGCCTTAAATTGAATCGTTACAAATTTTGTTTCTCGTTATAGCCAGCGTTTTATTGGCATTTGCCTGGCAGGCCACCTCAGTCCCCGGTCCGGCACAGGCCCCCCGTATCCACCCATTCCCTCGATGGAGCCGCAGCTTACTCGTCGTTTCGGCAAAGCTGTTACCGATCTGAAGTCACATTATCGCACACTGCACGAAGTAGGGAAATGTAACTATTGATCTTAAGCTGATTTTTGTTTTTACAAATAAGACGGTATAGTGTAAGTTTTGTTTGTTTGCAAGCTAGGTTATTTAATAAAAAAAATATTATTACTTTGTACAAATTAGTGTGTATGTTCTATTTAATTTTTCATTAAAAACCAATAGCTGTAATCAGGAGACTCTCAGTATGCAATTTGGTTCGAAAGATCCAGGAAAAGTCGAATCGAAAAAAACTAGGTAGAAGATAGAAAAAAGCACGGCAGATCTCATGTAATACGAATAGATATGTCCGTCTGTCGATCCGTCCGTCTGTCCATATGAACATCGAGAACTTTTGAACAATAACAGACGACTGGACAAACTTTTTATGTAGATTCCATTTTCTATTTTACCTGCCTGATTTCCTTGATCTTGAATAGAAAGAAACTTTTTAATGTACTACACAACTATTATCCTCATTATTCCGGCATATTTTAATAAATTTCAGATTTTTGTTACACTTTAATTTGCATATTTCTTTTTCAAACCCATTTTGCATTAATCAGTATTCGGACTTTGTTATAATATTGGTTTGGAATTATCTTGAAACCATTTCTATCTTTGTTTCAATCACAAGCGAAGATAGATGATACATTTGGGGCACCACCTGAACCTAAATGTCACACAACTATTGCATTTAATGTGCACATGCGTCGAATGGGAAGGCGGCAACTGAACCCACGAAAAAGTGGCTGCCCAGAAATGTTGATCGTAGCATTTAAACGGTAGCTGGAGGATCCTAGAAATTGGGAAGCAGCGTTTAATAACTTCATTAAATGCCCTTTGACATTTATGTTAGACAATTATTTATGAGATGAGCCCTGTCCTCTGCGCAACTACTACTGTCGTCTATCGCTGTTGTCGGATCGCAGATCCAGAACATGTGCGCAGGTAGCTGGCCACCAGTTGAGACATAAATAACGTAATCATCTGATAATGAAATTGTTTACAAGCTCGGACTCGAAGGCACGCCCACAGCGACCATCAAGTTGAAAAGTAGAAAAGGTCGCAGTTAAAAAATGTTTTTTGTTGCTTTTGTTTATTTTATAGCAACCTTGTCAACGCTGATTAGTTGATCGTTTTCCAAGCCGGGCTAAGTACAGTAGGCTAATTGCTCTAATTTTCAGCAAACTCAACGAGGGAGAAGAGGACGGAGCAGCAGATGCATATACATAAGTTTTATGCTTCAAGGAGCTGCGCGCGTCTTCCAACTGCTTCGAATTTTTCGGCAATGCTATATGTATACGAGTATGTATGTATATGGCACGATGCTATTGCCCCTGGGACGCGGTCGATGACGATGGCAATGGCAATGTTGATGCTGGTGCTGATCTCAATACGTTGAAAGGATCAGCCGCAGCTTGCGCTGGCGATGCTTATCAATGTGAAGGGAGAACAGCTCGTACATTTGTTGAACTGTGGCCGAATTTGTCTTTTGGCTTCGGGCCGCCCTTTCGAAAACAATGGGAGCTTGGTATTTGGATTTGCCTGAGCATAGTCGAATAAATACTCATAAGAAGAAGAAACGCAAAAGATTTATTATGCTTGGTGCGCTACACTGTGAGGCTGTTAGCGCGTGTCTGGAGCGACGTTTAGGTTTAATTTAATGATGTTAGAACAGGAACATAATTTCTTGTAAATAAGTATAAATAAATAAAAATAAATAAGTATAATGTCAAGCAGTCTCCATTTCGACATACTTCTAATCCGTTAAAAAAAATTTAGCCTTAGTTTTAATTTGTAGTCGAATTTATGTTTATATACAAGTATATATCTTATATATATATCTTCATTCAATAGCATATAAATTCAACTTTTAAAGTTGTTCATATTTATTTTTTTAATGTATTTTAAATGCCTGATTTGTTTGCAGCATACCTAAGTTTCGACTATTCTGCACTCAATGTTGGCGGAAATTTTGCGTATATATCAACTGATCGATATACATTAGACATGGGGTCCAACGAACGAGCAAAATATGGTTTCACGTTTTGGTCACAAAATTATTATGTATCCTGATTTGATTAACAGACGCATTTAAAATTTCATTCCGCCAGATCATTATCTGGCACAGCTTTGACTTTGCTTGAGGATGCGCTGACATAAAGCTTTAACTGAGCAACTATAGAGGGACGAGAGGCTATCCGCGCACAGTAAGAAATTATTAGATCATCAACCGAGCAGCTTCAAAGAAACAGTGCCGTGAATTTGATTAACAGGAAGGCGCGAAGAAGCAGAGAAACTTTCCTTTCGTTTTGACGATTTCACCCAGTGCCACACTTCGAATTGCACGTGAAAAGGTGGAACGAGAACGTCGAAGTCATGGGTAGAGTCAGCGTCAACACCTACGAGTATAGTGGACATGCCATTTCGGATGGCTTGGGTAATTAGACAACAAGTGTCTAAAGAGGCGCACAAGTTCAAAAGGCCCCGTTGCTGGCTAAAAGCGACGCACTAATGAGCAGCAGCAGCGAAACAGCAAGCACAGCTCTTTAATCCACCCGCTGCTGCTCATCTGAAGACGAAGGTGTTAAAATCGAGACTGTGTCAACGAGCCGCCTTTGAGCTCTTGGGCAATTGCGCGCTTAACTGCCTCTGGGGTCCCAAAATGTGTATACAAATAAATTAATCAAAGAGAAATCGACGCTGCCCATTGCGCTCGCCTGCTAATTTTCATATGATTTATTTAATAAATTAGGCACTTGGCGCAGATCAAAGGCAATAACGACAGCACTTAGCTGCCGGCTCACTATTTAGTTGTCAAATAATTTGGAGTTTTTGAACATGCCGCCAAATGTGAATCAAAGGCGATGCGTCGCCACACTGGACCCGCTGGCCACTTCGGAAGCGGCTTCTGCTTCTGTCGACGCGTCGTCGGCCAAATCGATTTAATTTGTTTGTCCGACTTGAACACGGCGGCAGCGGCAACAGCAACGGCAACGCCAAAGGCGGCGGTAATGAAACGTTAAGTGTTGGCCAAGAGCAACTGTTTGGTCAACGGTCGTTCAGTTACGAACCGGCCAGTTGGCCTGTTTGTTTGTCTGTTGGATTTGGCTGACAAATTGTTTGGCGAGGCAGCCACTATACCAAC